TTAATTATTTGAGAATATTATAATTGCACATTGTCTACTGAAGATCAAAACACAGATTAAATGACTTTTAATCTATATAACATATTACTGTGAGTGCACTATCGGCTTAGAGCATGCGTCTTTCTTTTGAATAAATCAAAACTGGATCTGTAAAAGGGAGATCAACGTCTTGTCTAACCTGCTTGAGCACATCAAGTATGAGTTCCTGGAAGACCTCGTTGATGCCCATGGACAGGGTCTGGCGGTTCATGCCCTTGCTAAAGTAACCAATCCCCAGCAGTTCAATCAGCTCCCAGGCAGTCAGGCAGTTCTTCTTTGTGTTCAGCTGCAGCTTGTAATCTGCAAACTTCTCCTTACTCCATCCGCTCCCCATGGCCTCCATCAGCTTTCGCAGCAAGTACTCAATCTAGGGAGATGGACAGACAAAAGAGCTTCAAACCATGTCAAGGGTGGGAATGGTTAAAGGTTTTCTTCCTCTTTGTTCCAGTGTGCACATTAAAAACCCACAGAAACCAACCGTAAGGATCTCACCTCTTCAGTAATGATGACTAATGGGTATCTGTCTTCTGAAAGAAAGTTAAAAATGCACCAGACTTTGAAAGCATCGTCATCTGAGAAGAGTAGATGTTTGGTGCAGATATTTTTCTTGTAACACAGTGTCCAGCATATCTTGTTGAACTCCAATACATCAAAATCCTCCTGTACCTGTGAATAAAAATTCAGTCGGAGTCAAACCAGTGAGGGCAACGTGTTTACAAACGCTAAGCAGGAGACCGGTGTCTGCCTCCTTTCAAAACCTCGAGTCTGCAGGATGTGAGGTACAAACCTGATGTAATTAAATGCCTCATTTTTATTCAAGTCAGGTCTGTCAAGAGAAAGGCAAGAAAACAGCTTCCAAGCACAAAGAGTGAAACTCAAGCTGTTTACTAGCTGACATGAGTGTTAACGTTATAACATGTCAACAGCTTTGTTTGCTGTGTATTACACTGTGCTCACTAAGCTACAGGTCAAAAACTCTATCACAGAGAAGAATCCCCTTTTGCAAAGAGAGTACAACAATGCAGCCCATTTTATTTACATTTCAAAAACTGTTATTATACTAACAATACATAATATACTGTATATAATAGCCAAAACACATTCTGGGTACAACAGAGAAGTGGTTGTGACCATTTCCTCTGCTACAGATCAAAACAGGATTACTCATCCTAATCTGTGTCACACAGTCTTCATCAGAGAAGTAGAAGTTTTTTTATTCTATTTTTATTGTTTGTGTAACTGTTGTTAGTTTTTCTTTCAGAGCCTAATATTGCACTTTGTTCATGGCAAAGAGAAATATTCAGTATAAATAAGAGCTTTGTTACCACTAGGGCTAATTATCAAAATTCATTCCTTGCTAGTACTAATTCAAATGTGTCTGTAGCACCATATACAGAAAACTATCTAGTACCAAAATCTGGCAATCAAATGTCTGGTCAGATTTGTAATCTTATCAGATCAGATTCAGTTTCTAATTTCTAGTCATTTATATGCAAAGTGCTTGTTCAGCTGCTTGTGTTTAGACAACATTTAATTGATATTTTAGAAGTTTGGCTTCTTTTGTTAGATATAAAAATGAAAGCTTTTTGTTGAAAAAATATGTATATGCTTTTAGATCTTAGAGCAGCATTTGACACAGTTGACCACAGCGTCCTTATTTCTCACCTCAAGCATGGTGTGGGGATTAAGGGCACTGCTTTAGAATGGTTTAGGTTATACTTGTCAGACAGAGATTTTAGAGTCAGTTTTGGTGGCTCTATTTCACCTTCTGTGTTCCTCACATATCTACTTGCCCATCAAAAGAAAAGATGGTAGCTCTTTAACAAAATTGGTTGACTGTTTTAATGATATTAAAGCCTGGATGGCCCTAAATTTTTTTAACTTCAACAAGAGTAAAACTGAGGTCATAATTTTTAGACCCAGTGGCACCTCTGATGTCTCACAAATAGACCTGGGCACCCTGAAACCTTATGTTAAGTCTGTTGTAACAAACCTGGGCATTAAAATGGAGAAGCAGATCAATTCTGTTGTGAAAGCAAGTTTCTTTCAACTTAGGCTTCTTACTAAGCTAAAGCCCTTTTTATCCTTCACAGACTTCGAGAAGGTTATACATGCATTTATCACAACACGCCTTGATTATTGTAATGTAGGTGTTAGCCAGGCCTCCCTCTCTCGTCTACAACTGGTGCCACTTGTCTCCTTACTGGAACTCGTAAGCGAGATCATATCACCCCTGTTCTTGCCTCCCTTCATTGGCTCCCAGATAATTTTAGAATTGATTTTAAGATTCGATTTTGTGTTATTAAAGCCCTTCATGGACTAGCTCCAGCCTATATCACTGATCTATTGAAGCCGCATGCTCCTTCAAGGTCATTAAGGTCTGCGAACCAGTCACTTCTTGTTGTTCTTAAAATCAAGAACAGAGGTGATCGAGCTTTCTCAGTTGCAGCACTGAGACTGTGGAATGAATTGCTTCTTCATGTCACACTGGCCCCCAGTTCTGGTTTTTAAATCACGACTTAAAACGCATTTTTATTCCATAGCTTTTAAATCCGGCATGAGAGCTGTATGTTGTATTTTTTTGGTGTTGTATTATGTCTATTTATTGTTTCATGTCAATGTACAGCACTGTGGTCAACCTGGTTGTTTTAAATGTGCTTTAGAAATAAAGTTGGATTGCATTGGATTGGAAAACTGACTGTATCTCTCAAAGTAACGTTACATAAACATATACATTTGCTCGTAGCAACTGTAACTGACACAGTCCCATAGAAGTTACAATTTAACTGACACAGTTACATCCAAAGATATGGTTAGATATCCTTGTTGGGAGATTATCTGTAGGTACTTTTTTATTATAGCTGTCATGTGATTGTTGAGTTCTTAATGTACAGTTAACCAAACTCGGGTATCACATTGGCACTGATATAAACAAATGGCAAATGATACCAAAGCCCTAGTTATCATTTTGGCTAATTATAGCATGTCGACTGGATTAAAAACACAGGACTCTCCCATTCTCCTACAACTACTTGTGCATCTTGTCCCCACCTTGTCAAGAATAAACCTGTTGAGGTACGGCATGTAGCCCTGGTTGGACAGAGGCCCTTTATCATCATCTTTGAAATGGTGTTCAAGGGCCACAGGGTCATGAGGGACCTTCATCACTGTGCACAGGCTGTGAGACAGCACCTAAAGAAACACAATTTGAATGAGAATTAAATACTACCATAAGACATGAGTTCTGCAGGTGAGACGACATATATATCAACTCAAGACATATTGCTGCAGTTGTTAGATATACGTATATTTGTGTGTGTGTGTGTTTGTGTGTGTGTGTGTTTCATGTTTTTATATCCTGACTTTAATCTGAGTGCACACTTTAGGGTAAGGTAATAGGCTAGAAAAAGCATTATGTCATGAGATGTTCCCACAGGATGCGTGTGTGTGTTAAAGAGTTAAAGATAAAGCTCTAGATCAGTCTCACAGATATCATTTACCACACATGCAAATATCTGTCACATTTACAAGCATCACTGACCAAGCGTAGAGTTAAAATGGTCCTTGGTGATGTGAACAATTTAATTTTAATAAAAGCCACCTGCAAACAGTTTCCTCCGACAGTGCAAAGTGTGGTGGTGGTAGATACATGGTGGATAGTCAGCTGTAAACTGGCCATCATGGTGATATAAAGGCCATAAATGAATCCCTCCAAAATAGGGATTTCTTAGAGTTTTTCTGGCCGGTCTGTAGTGTTGAGTGAGCATATGTGAGAGATGAAAAGCCCTGCAGGATCCTTGAAGTCACACTTTGTCTTTGTCAGGCTAGGCACATAGACATCAGACCCAGCAGGCAAACAAACTCAGACCCAGGCTGTGGCATGGCAAAACACCATGGCTCTCTGGCCTTTGCTTCAGTAAAACAGCCTGTAACATGTTGCCTTTAACAGTGTGGGTTAAACATGCTTAAACCTCCTCAGGAAAACACAAACATGCAGCAACGAAAATTCACGAATGGTGGATAAATCAGAAAATCTAACAAGTGTTAACACAACATATTAGCATCCCTGCGGTAGCTGTTAGAGTAAAATATACTGTAGGCTACAATAAGATGGTATAAAACCCTTGTGCAATGTAACTTAATTTAAAAAAACAAAACAATGCAACTATATAAAATTACTCCTTTAAGATACAAGTCCTGCGTTCATATTTTAGTATTAGAAAGTAAGAACAAATCAGTATGAGGAGCAAAGCACGTAGTTTATAATTAACGTTACACATACTTAACGTTAATCTATATTGGTTATTGCCTATATTACTGACAGCTAAATGTTTAAGCAGTAACGTTATTTTAATGTTTTAAGTTATCTAACCGAGTTGACGCTAATTTACTGTTAACGTTAGACAGGTTCATCTGTAACATCATATATTTTACATAAAAACGGAATGCAAAATAACTGCAGACTATAAAGGTAATGTAATGTAAAATGAATGCAGTCCAGTCTTGTTCCTCTGAAATGTAACGTTCAAGTAAAAGTAGCATGAAATGAAAATAACGCTGACGTTAGCCAAGTAAAGAGCGAGTACCTTCACAATGAAGTTATTAAGTTACTTACGTAATTTATGAGTACATGTAACGTTAACGTTACTTAAGTTACTTTCTACAACTAAGTTACTAAACTTGACACAGTAACATTGAGTTTAGCCGTGTGTTTATCATAATAAGTAACTTCAACATACGAAGTCTCACGTTATGCTGAGGAAAACAAGTGATATTTAGGTAGAACTTCCGCACAGAACGTTAGAACCTGAACCGTTACATCAGCAACTAATGTAACGGTACAGATCAAAAGTAAGTTGCTGTTACAAACCGCGAATGAAGTACAGTTAACGTTCGTTAGACCGAGTGTCTATTCATCCTTGGTGGGGTCTGAACTTCGAACAAAACACAAGTGAAACGCACCTTCAGCTGAGATTTGGAAACTTTTCCACGTTGGTCCACGTCCAGGGCTGTGAATGCGTGCCATATAGATTTCAGAAGCTCATCTCGAAGCCACATTTTGTCCGTGAGCAGCAGCAGAGGTCTGTTGATCCGCAGTGTGTGTTTGTGTCACTAATAATGTCTGTGGGGGTTTAACTGTCCGCCCCTCTAACACCAGCGCGATGTCGGTGTCTCAGTAGGGACAAGAGCGATGACAGCGCCACATAACGTTCAGTTCAGTATCATCTGTTCATCCCGTCAGTTAGTTTATCCTGTTTCCCCATCATGAACTCAAAACCTCAAGTACCACTAACACTAACTGTATGTCAGAGGTGGACGAAGTATTTAGATCCTTCAAATTAAGTACTAATACCACACTCAAGTAAAAGTCCTGCATTGATGAATGTTACTTAAGTAAAAGTACACAAGTATTATCAAGAAGATCAAGAAGTATTCAATGCAGGAAAATACTAGTATATATGATTATTATTACCCATGCATTCATATACAAGCAGAAGTTGATTGGTCTGTAATAATTCTGACATTAGTGAGAAATGCCCTCACAATTACCCAGAACCCAAAGTGACACCACCACAATGCTTATTTTGACCAACCTACAGTACAAAGCTCAAAATTATTTACAATAAATTAAAATAATTAAATGGAAAAGCAGCAAGTCTCACATTTAAGATGGAACCATGAAATGTTTTTGCATGAAAAATGACTTACAGATGCCAGTTCATTTTCTGCAATGCACAATCACAATACTTGTATTTAGCTTATCTGACCCTTCAAAAGCCCCATAAACTCTTAACAAGGTAGACCTAAGAAGAACTTTTGAGGGTAGGAAACTGAATTGAAGGACTGAGGAAACTGAAGTTAAGCATTTTGAGCATAGTTACATTAAAGTGAGGCCTAGGGCAAAAATGAGCTGACAGGCCTTTATTAACCTCTGTTCCACCCATTATCTATGCAATGCATGCAGTTTTTCAATGCTACAATACTAGATTTGCTGTGTGGTAAAGTGATCACAGACAAACTACTTATTACAAATATACAGAAGATTAGAACAAAACTGATATAATGGTGTTAAAACTCTACGTGGACACAAAACAGGGCCCCAACAATAGGTCATACCACTTTAAGGCATCATGGCAGCTCATTTTGTTTGGTAAGCCTTTTTCACAGCAGACATTTTGACTTGTCAGAGAAAAAGCACAGGTTTTACAATTAACATTAATGACAGCTGTTCTTTTCAAAGGACTCAGTGAGCCAACATGCACAATAGCAGGACCCTGAGCAGGTGAATGGAATTCAGCCATTGATCATTATATTATTCACACCTGCTATTACCATGCAAGATATGTTAAAATGTCATCTTTGAAAAAGGCCTCATTTCTATTTATTGTGTCCAGTGCCTGTTTTTAATTTCTTTGTACAGGTCGCTGGACGACTCACAGGGCTGCTTGTCTCTAATATGAGGATCAAGTTTTCCCAGTGATTCTTTAATTCCCCCCCCCCAGAGCTGCTGCATCGAGGGCCAAAACTTCTAACCCTGCTCTGTGAACAAATGCAGCATAATATGACAAATATCAAGACACTCAAATAACTGATTCTGTGATCACAGGAGCAGACTGCACTCTGGTGGACATTCATTAACCAATTACTTATAAAATAAATTCATAAAGCAGAAGAACTGTGCCTGGATAAGGAAAAACTCGTGGTCATAACTTCCCTTAGCTTTTTTTTTTAATATGTTGTTGAATATATAGATGGTTCATCCATACACCAACCAAAAGCTTGAGACCTTCACGATAAGTCCAATTGTACATGCTTCAATGATGTATTCAATTGTACTTCAGTGCTCAAAAACACATGTCCTGTAGCCATACTGAACACCAAGAGCATTCTCTTTTTTTCCTGAAATCAATAATGTTTCCGAGTTGCCCACTGTTCCACTCTGTAACCAGATGCGTGACAACCAGCCATTACAGAAGTCGCTTGCAAAGTAACAAAGTTACAGCTGTTTTCATTTTAAATAGTCTTCAATTTAAAAAATTTGCAGTCTGATACAGAAGGCTAGGAGACCTGAACAATATGAAAGTGCTAGTCATTAATTTACAGAGATCAGGCATCACATAGTGCTATGAAGTATCCAATATGCTACATATGAATACAGCTGTTAACACCTTAACAAATGCCTCTGGTTGTTTTTCAAGGCTACTTGAAAAATCAATAACCTTGGCTTGTATGTACATAAACGAGTGTTTGTTTATGCAGAAAATAACGTATATATCACCACTACCAGAGGTATAATCATTACAGCCATTTGGCCACAACAGTGATAATGAAATATTTAGTCCCATTATCAATTTCTAACAGTTAATCCCCCAAATTTGTTTAAGTGGGAAAAACAAAACAAAAGAGTTGCCGTCATGGTATCCCCTTCCACACTGGGCTCCAGAAGACAACGTTGTTCAGAGCTTCTTCTCTTGCATCGTGCTCAAGTTCTTGGTTTGTTTTCCACAGCCATTGGTTGCATTTTGGTTGCTTTCCCACATCTTCTGGTGCTATTTCCCCATTTGACAGATTTGAAGAATGACTGAGAAGAACCAGTTCTGGAACCACTACTTAAGGGAACAACACAAGCTTTTTTTCACTTCACTACAATCAGTCACAGAGTAATAAAAAGTAGAACAGATGACTCAATTCATTCCTGGAGCAGTGCCTCCAAAGTTGAAAGTAGATGGCACCACTGGCGCTGTGAACTTGTACCCGCCGTGTTTCTCGATCATCTTGGATTCTGCAATTAGACAATAAGCAACAGTTCTTAAAAATCACCAACATGGGTGGGAACGTCTTCATTTACTACACAGCTGGTGCTCGTCCGCCCCCTAGCTAAAATTTGGCCCTTTTCACTTCTAGGAAGTCCAAAAGATATTTCATGTCGTCATTTGAAGAATACGGCTTTTCAAACCAGGTTTGTCAAACTCCTTAGCTTGTCAATCTAACAGGTCTAACAGGAAACAGGTATTTCCAACATAAATTCCTCTCGTGTTTTTCTTCACCTTCTGCACACTGCTCTGCTGTTCTCAGCTCAGGTGTTGAAGGTTGGCTATAATACATCCAGACCAGACTAGATTCTGGCGCAGCTTCGTCTACTGCCACCCAGTGTGATCAACACTTTTTTTGCTTTATTAGTCACCAACAGAGATATATCATGACATGTGGGATGAGGGAGATGAGGTCACCAGCCAGGCTCGAATCATCATGCAGTTCATGGTCAGCCCCTTAAAACCTTCAGGCCACCATTTTGGCTCACAAGGACTGTCAGAAGCCATGCAGACAGGGCTCTTCACAGTATTAGCATATTATGACTGAACTAGGATTACCCACAGTTATTTTCCTTTATGGAGGTGAAAATATGATTTTTAGATCAAGTTTTTGTGCCCATTAAAAACACAAAAGGTCACAACAGTGACTGATTTCACTGCGTTAAGACTGTAGTGTAAATAGGTAGGTTCAGCATGATACATTTTATTCCAGGTAAATGTACAGAAGAAAAAAGGCATTAGTAATATCATTTAGTTCTTTTTTTTTTTTAATGAAAAGCAAACTGGTATCAACAACAAAAAAAGCAAGAAATAGCATGTAAAAAAATTTGCTTTATTGTCAGACTGAAGGGCCGCATCAGATTTTAATGGGAACATTGAGGTTCGTTCTCTGCTGGTGCTCACCATGTGCTGCCCGTCTCTGGTCTGCAAGTGTGCCAATTTCATGAAGGTGTTTGCCCTGGTCCTCATCAAGGGCCTGTGTTAGTGCCTGGTACCATGCTGGGTCACGGCTCTGGATATCTGCACCACAGTGAAGTAAGATTAGTGATCAATGTACAACATGGACACATTTGGTTGTCCTGAACAGTTTCATTTTCACGGTGTTTGCTTACTCTGTAGTATGGCTTTGAAGATCTGATACTCGTCCACTAAGTTTTCTTCATCATCTACAGCTGTAGTGTAGCCCTCAAGTGCCGTCTCCTCAGCATCGTCCTCCTCCCAGTCTTCATCATCTCCGTCCTCACCCGCTTGCTTCGCCAGCATCTCCAGGTACTCCTGGCCCTCCTCATCGATGTCATCCTCGTCACTGCCCAGCTCAGCTACAAATCAGTCCGAGTGTAAAAGGGTAATACCTTTCAACATCGCTTAATTCACATCTTAGCTGAATCAACACTGAGTACGTCAAAACACTTATGCCCTACCGTTGTCGTCCTCGTCTTCCCCGTCTTCGTCGTCGTCATCTTCGTCATTCTCGTGCTCTGCTCGACAGGCGTACGCCCTCTTGAGGCCGTTGAACAGCAGGATGGCTGCTGGAAGAAGTTGGCCGGCCACCTGGTTGACTGCCTGAGGCCTGTGCTCAAGGTCGATAAGAGCACAAAGACCGAGAATGCACATCTTCCTGTCGTGGAGGCTGTGAGGGGAACAATAAGTTATTGACATTACCGAGACCTGGTTGAACAATTAGTTGATAAGTATAGAGACATAATTTTTGAAATTTGCTTGAAATCTGCACGTCGTGATTAAAATGAAAGATAATTGCAATGAAATGATTAATAGTTGCAGCCATAGTATGTACATTTGACAAGTGAAACTGAATATGGCTAGATTCTTCCTTCAAAACCAGGATCAAAGCACTTCGTGAGCTTTTGAAACAGTCAATTGTTTTAGCAGTCAGAACCAGGTATACTGTAATTCACGCTGTTGAGATAAATATGAAACTCTTACCCAAGGAAGCAGTCGACGTCTTTGAGCCACTGGGTTATGAAGTGGTTAGTGATAGGCTCGGTGTTGTTTGGAAAGCGGAGATTTTCCAGAGTGTTGAGGAGAAGAGGGGGGCTGTAGTAAAGTGCAGCAATGGCCACCTGCAGGCACATAGTCCTCAGCTCGCTGGTCTTCACCTCTCGCGTCAAACGCTCCAATGCAGCAGCCACAAACAAGGGCACAACCTGCAACAGAGCAACAGTGTGCATTATAAATATTAAATTAGAATCAGAAGAATTATTTTAATTTTAGGAGTGAATGCATCCTGCAGAAGTATTAAGACTCAGTTGTATCCCTTTAGCTTATGGTTAGTTAGAGACTAGGGGTGTAACGATACTCTAAATTCACGGTTTGGTTCAGACCTCAATTTTTGAGACACTGTTTGGTTCATATCTCTGAAATCACGGGTGAGTTTGTTAAACACTTTATGAAACGTACTGCTGATGGAGAAAGTGAGCTGAGACACATACGGAGCTAGCCGGCGTGTTTGTCGTGAGAGACCAGAGGTGGAGGCTTGGTGTGTGGGGACGAGAAGAGGAGCGCATTCAACGCTAAAATTACCTAAAATAAACTACT